GGATAAATCAAAATATTCTGCACCATTGATGCGGAAGTCGTCACATTCCCATCTTGAGCTCCCTTCAAAACGCCGGTGATATTTCCCATGGACATAAGCAACGACTCGATATCTGTTTTTTCCAAAGTAAGAGTATCCCCACACTTTATTCCACCATTGATTACAATCAACAGCTAACTTCTAGTTGTCATCCTTCATCCTCACAAACGAGCCACATGCTTTCGGATTGGCATCTGTCTGACCACTGAAGTATTGTACTACTACTTCACCACTGCTGTTAGCAGCCGTGGTCAAATGGAGAGTGCGTCCCTTGTTTTTGCTGCAGTGGAATCTCAACTGAGTGAAAGACAAGTGTCTTCTCAGTTCCTTCATGGCATCTATCGTGAGTAACAACGACTTGTTATGACAATTGCTTATTTCACGGTATGATGACTCAAATGAATACCATAGCGAGGATGGGTTGCCGACGACAACGTTGGAGACCAGAAGCCAACCTCCTGGAAAAAAGAAATGAAATAAAATGAAATTCTTTATTTTGCAAAGTAATATTGCATTCCATTTATTATAGAAGGACAGTTTGTACAGAAGTAAAACAAAACCACCGTTATCGTTATTAGTTTTTTCTTAAACATCCACTTCTTACCTCCTTCGGTTGTCATATCACAGTAGACCTTTAAAAGGCTTCCGTTCTTCTTAAGAGCGATCCAGTACTCCCCGTCTTTAAGATGGGAACTTGTGTTCCGAATTTCCTTAAAAGAATGACCTAAAGAAGAAAATGCAGTTTTTTCCTAAATGAAAGGCATAATCTTCCCACCAATGTGAGTTAACGGATTGGTAATAATTGTTAAGATGCTGCTCTTCGTTTGTAGAGAAATATTCTTTCGGACTATACATGCACATGATAAGGGAGGGCAGTCGCCATTTCCCACTTGTTGTTTTTCCTTGAGTTTCTTTTAATTCTAGAATTCCTTGACCAGAAAGGAAACGCATCCCCATTGGTTTTAGGTAAGTGTGTGTGACAATATCAGTCACGAGCGATAAAATGATGATTGTTGTTCGAAAGTGCATAACTCTTGCGCGATTTGTGGAACAATAAAAAAAGGAATACTCAACTAGTGTAGTAGTCAAAATGTACAATCGTACGCAGTAATTTTTAGCTTATCCTTCTAACAACGTCTCCACACAGTGGTTTACATCCTTACTTGTACTTATGCAGCTGTTTCTTCTGTCTCCAAATAATCCTGGTCTGCATGTGCATTTGTAAGAACCCACAATGTTATCACAAATGGCGTTGGGATCACAACCATGTAGACCTTCCACACATTCGTTGACATCTGTGGATAGGCATATCCTTAATTAAGCATCCCTCACTCCATCTTCTTTGTTTAACGTGCTCCTAAAAATGGGAGATGATTTTAACAAAAGGCGAACCTTTTTCACAATATTTTCCTGTCCAGCCAGATGAGTTACACCCACACGTGTAGTTCGTCTCACGGTTCGCACACTTTGCATTGTTTTGGCACTGATGTTTGACACAATAGCTTGCAACTAGGGAGAAAGAAAATCGATTATATGACTTTTACTCCCCCCCCCTTACCTCCCCTCTCCCCTTCCCCCTTTCCCCTCCCTTTCTCCTTAACTGTAATACTGCTTGTTAATCTTTGCATTTCTATCACCTCGTTTTGGACCTTTCGCCGTGTAATATCTGTCCTTGTTCTTGACAAAGTCCTCTGGTCTGACCTCTTTAGTTCGGTTGTTTAACGCGCATATTGCAATGAACATAACGACGTTGAAGCTTTGACATCTGACATCAGCAAGACAAGTGTCTCTGCATTGCAGAGTTCCTGGTGCAGTCTTGAACGTCTTGTAAGTGTGGCCCTTGAAAATCATTTGGTAAATTGAGTATAGGTCGCCGCCGGTTCCACACTGCTGACTGGCATTGTCTCGGAACAGTCGAGAAATGAAAAATAGCACGGTAAAAAATGAAGCATGTCGACAAGCCATGAGAGGCATATCAGATTTATGACACCTGCGAAAACAAGATGAACACTGTTTATTGATAATGTTTGAGTTAAAGACATTTTTGGAAAAAGAATATTTAATGGATTATTGAAGAAAAACGAAATTTTATCACTTTAAAGTCTGCCTCTCCTCCCTCTCCTTTTGAAGTCTTAATCTTTGCTGATCAGTTTGCGGGAAAGATGAGAAACTTCAGTTATTTTTGACAGCTTGGAAAATATTTTAAATATAGGTAATAAAATAATTGCGAGTGCAATTTGATGAAAAAAGCACGAATACATTTTTTCCTATGACAACAAAATTGCTCAAGCCCGTGAGGCGAGTGCAATTTACAGTCTTAAAAATTTACATTTCTTGAAATTAGGAGACTCACCTGTTTCGTCATCCATTCAAAATCATCTTTTAAAAATTCTGTGACGAGAAAATGCTACCTTCTTAGGAAATTGGGCCTCGGACATAAGAAAAGATCGATAATAATTGTATATTGTAACGTCTGGTTAAAACTTTAGTATCTGTAGTTTCCTTTAATGTTAGTGCTTATTAAACTTTTTTTCAGGAAAAAGAGAATTACAATTGAGGAGGCACAGGTTTTCGCTTAACTTTTTCAGACATATTTCGATTTTAATTTGAAAAAGGGATTGTACAATAAACTTTGGAACAGTTCAGTATACACACACCTGGTTAAAAGTACTCGTTGTTTCTTAAACTCCACTTGGCCTTGTCTTGAGGTGTGACGCACTTTTCTTCAGAGCAAGGCTGGTTACCAACTGCCAACTGAAGCTGAAAGGTTGTTTAGAGGGAATAATATTACACTACAGATGACCTCCAAGGAGATTATGAGCCATTGTCCTTCCTCACAACGGTACATCTTTGTTAGATCAGCGGTATTCTCTAGGAGACAGTAATTATTCTTCTCAAACTAGGCTTTCTTATGTTTTACAGTCAATTGGAGCTGAGATGATGTTTAGGTGAAATTATATTACAACACGAAAAAACTCTTGCATAATTAGCCCCTATCCTTAATTCCTTACAGTGGTGCTTTGTTAGATCAGTGGGATGCTATGGTGGACAGTTAAGTTTTTCTCCTACTGGACGCTGTTGTGTTTTTTGGCCAACTGGAGCTGAATTGATGTTTATGGATAATTCAGTAATGTTAAGCTTCTGCAGTCTTTTTTGGAAAAATTTGAACTCAAACACCTCGGTGATTGATCTTTATTCTTTATTCTCCGATGTTCATCAAGGACTGTTTTCAGTAGAAACGTAACTATTTAAGTCACAAGGAGTACAGAATAAAGGCTGTTATACGAAAACGAGGCGAGAGCTATCGCAATAGAGATTATCTTGAGTTTGGGTGTGTTGATATTGTGACACTTAGAGACCGACGCTGCTTACGTTCTAGTCTTGTCGTTCTATTTCATCCTCGCGTGCTTTGCGCCTTCTGGAGGACAAAAGATGTTTTCGAAAGTCATTCTAATTACAACGGCAGGGTCAGCGAATGTTGTGTTGAAAATCTCTCGAATAAATCTCATGAATGTTTCATCATTTCAATGTTATTTTAGATCGAATGGATTAAAACTTTTTTAAAATGGGTCAAATTTCATTTCTTTCTGTTGGTTTTGCCATAAGAGTTACTTTCGGAAAACATCTGAGGCGAATATAAAAACTGTAATATTTTACAGTTAAAAATATCGGGCATTTTAACACCTGCAAGTTTGAGTGTAGGAATTCAGTCCCTATTTGACAGCATAGTTTCATGAATAAATTATTTTCACATTGATATCACAAAACTATTTAAAGATTAATTCCATGATGTTCGACATATTTTTCGAAGTTAGAATTAGTTCATTTTTTAATTTCACTGCGGTCATTCCAAATCTACCATAATTATCCATCGTTGTTCGATGAAATACTCCAGTTAATTGTTGCAAAATTAAGTAAGAGTTCCGGAGATGGATATTTTATCAGTGATAAATCCTTTCTCGACTTGTACAGAAGTTTACACAAATTGTTCCCAAAGAATATACTTATTAGGAGTACTTAGTAATAGTAGAAGAGGTAGAGTACTGTCGGAAATGTTTAAACATATAAAGTGGTTTAAGTGATTCCGGTGATGGCGTGATTGCAACATATATTGTTATGATTACCCTGCACAAGAAGATATAGGGGGCAATGTAGGGGGATCTCATGATATATTCTCAAAAAAAAGATACAAAATAACAGAAAGTGAACTTGCAGTATTATTCACGCATTGTATAAAGCATGCATCTCTATCGATCGCTTATTTAGAGATAATTAGAGCACTGGCTTTACACGAGCTGGAACTAACAATTTAAAACTACGTATGATTACATCAGATATCATAAATAAATAGGTTGTGGCATGACTGAGAACGACAAGCAACTTTCGAAAATATTCCAACAAGATATTTCTAAGGGTCAAGGAATATTTTGCATGTTACCTTGACTTTCGTTAAAAATTATTACCATTAATACATTATACATAGGTTTCGTTCAGGAGAAATCATAACCCTATCATCTCGCTTCTGTGTCGCAATTAAAACGACTTTCGCTTCTCAAGAAGCCGTTAAACAAGCCAATAACAGAATTAATCGTAATTACCTCGATTGCGATAAGTTAAAAAAAACCTATTTTCCACCAACTGACGTGCCAAGTTGTTATCAGTCAGGGTTATTGAGTATTATCAACTGAGTTGATAACGTAAATTTGCCACCGTAAAGAGTTTAAAAGCTGACGTTTCGAGCGTTAGCCCTTCGTCAGAGCACTGTTGTCAGACTGTTCAATAAGCCAATCACATTCAAAGTTGTGTTAAAATCAATCAATTAATTAAACAGTTGAACAATGTACGCCTCCTTTGACAGTCTTTTAGTGCAAATTTCTCTTTCTTTCGTAACTTGGCTACTCACTCTTATGATTACGGACCGAATTGGACTCCACTCGGTCCTTTCACCATTTCAAAAATAATTATTGCAGATAATATTTATTTAACTTACTATAATTGTGATTAAACTATGGTTGCATCAGGGTTCAAGTATCATCATTCGACATACCAAAAATTGTGCATAGCTTTCATCCCGATAGTTTTAATAACAGTTTATTTCAACATTGGAGGCTTGCTTTAGCAACAAAAGGATAAAAAACGACAAAACGTGACACTGATCTCGGTCAGCCGTTGAATGTTTTTCAAGACAGTGAGAACTGTTTAGTTATTGGTTGCATTTGGCCTTAACGAACAAAAACCCTCCAGAAGTCACCTGTGGACAGTCCAAAATATTTTCCATCATTGTGGATGGAGTCGTCACATTCATATCTTGAGCTCAACAAAGCCCAGCGATATTTCTTAGGGACAGAAGCAACGGCTCGATATCTTTTTTTTCCTTGAAAGTATCCCCACTGTTTATTACTCCATTGATTACAATCAGCAGCTATCTTCGAGTTGTCATCCTTCATCCTCACAAACGAGCCACATGCTTTCGGAAAGGCATCTGTCTGACCACTGAAGTATTGCACTACTGCTTCACCTTTGCTGTTAGCAGCCGTGGTAAAATGGAGAGTACGTCCCTTGTTTTTGCTGCAGTGGAATCTCAACTGAGCGAAAGACAATTGTGTTCTCAGTTCCTTCATGGCATCTGTCGTGAGTAACAACGACTTGTTGTGACAATTGCTTATTTCATGGTATGATGATTCGTCTGAATACCATAGCGAGGATGCGTTGTTGACGATAACGCTAGAGACCAGAAGCCAACCTCCTGGGAAAAAGAAATGTAATTAAATTAAATTCTTGATTAACCAAAATAATACTGCTTTCCATTTATTATAGAAGGACAGTTTGTGCAGAAGTAAAACAAAACCACCGTTACCGTTATTAGTTTCTTAAACATCCATTCCTTACCTCCATCGGTTGTCATATCACAGAAGACCTTTAAAAGGCTTCTGTTCTTCTTAAAAGCGATCCAATACTCCCCGTCTTTAAGATGAGAACTTGCGTTTCGAATTTCCTTACAAGAATGACCTGGTGGAAGAAATGCGGTTTTTTTCCTAAATGAAAGGTATAATCTTCCCACGAATGTGAGTTGATAAGGGAAGGCAGTCGCCATTTCTCACTTGTTGTTTTTCCTTGAATTTCTTTTAATTCTAGAATTGCTTGACCAGAAACGAAACGCATCCTTATTAGTTTTAGGTAAGTATGTGTGACAATATCAATCACAAGCGATAAAATGATGATTGTTGTTCAAAAGTGCATAACTCTTGCGCGATTTGTCGAAAAATAAAAAAAAGGGAATACTCAACTAGTGTAGTAGTCAAAATGTAACATCGTACGCAGTAATTTTTAGCTTATCCCTCTAACAACGTCTCCACACAGTGGTTTACATCCTTACTTGTACTTATGCAGCTGTTTCTTCCGTCTCCAATTAATCCTGGTCTGCATGTGCAGTTGTAAGAACCCACAGTGTTATTACAAATGGCGTTGGGATCACAACCATGTAGACCTTCCACACATTCATTGACATCTGTGGATAAGCATATCTTTGATTAAGCATTCCTTGTCTTTTTTGTTTAACATGCTCCTAAAAATGGGAAATGATTTTAACAAAAGGCGAACCTTTTTCACAATATTTTCCTGTCCAGCCAGATGAGTTACACGCACACGTGTAGTTCGTTTCACGGTTTACACACTTTGCATCGTTTTGGCACTGGTGTTTGACACAATAGTCTGCAACTAGGGACAAAGAAAATCGATTAAGTAAAGTCCTCTCATTGGCATGGCAACAAAATTCTAAGAACCATGTCTTGTACGAACCTTCAGTCTTCATGTCACAGCCAGCTAAAATAGAGTTACCAGATCTGGTTGAATCCATCCAATAATTATTACCGCTGACCGCCTTTCCTCCTTCACTCGCCTTGATTTCCTTGCACGATTCCGCGGGCAACTCACGAATTGATCCGAGGCGAACTGCAGTTGAAGCGATTAATGTTAGCAGAATAAGAAAGATTCATTGCTGACAGCGTAAAATCCACAAAAGTCAGCTTACCCATATTGTTTGTTTTCATCACCTTTAAGATATACTGTGTGTAGAATGTTTATAGGACTTACTCTATAACTGGCAGTCTATCGACACTTCTGTAAAGATATGTGTCAGACAATGCCGAGCATCATATTGGGTACATTTCAAGTTGCGCTCGCATATCGAGCTATCAGTTGAATGTCGCCCCCCGTCCCCACTTACTTCCCTTCCCCCCTCCTTCCCCCATCTCTCCTTCCTATTTTCCCCCTTCCCCCTTTCCCCCTCTCCCCCTCCCTCCCCCCCTTCCTTAACTGCTGTAATACTGCTTTTTAATCTTTGCATTTTCTATCACCTCGTTTTGGACCTTTCGCCATGTAGTATCTGTCCTTGTTCGTGACAAAGTCCTCTGGTCTGGCCTCTTTAGTTCGGTTGTTTAACTCGCATATTGCAATGAACATAACGACGTTGTAACTTTGACATCTGACATCAGCAAGACAAGCCTCTCTGCATTCCGGAGTACCCGTTGCAGTCTTGAACGACTTGTAAGTGTGGCCCTTGAGCATCATTTGGTAGAAGGAGTATAGCTCGCCGCCGGCTCCACACTGCTGACTGGCATCGTCACGGGACAGTTGAGAAATGAAAAATAGCACGGTAAAAAATGAAGCATGTCGACAAGCCATGAGAAGCATATCAGATCTATGACACCTGCGAAAACAAGATGAACATTTTTATTGGTAATGTTTGAGTTAAAGACAATTTTGAGAAAATATTCCTTAATAGGTTATTGAAGAAAAACGAAATTTTGTCGCTTTAAAATCTGCCTTTCCTCCCTCTCCTTTTGAAGTCTTAATCTTTTCTGATCAGTTTGCGGGAAAAAATGAGAAACTGCGTGAAAACGTTAGTTACTTTTTACAGCTTGTAAAAGACTTTAAGTATAGATAATAACATGATTGCGAGTGCAATTTGCTGAAAATAAGCACGAGTATATTATTTCCTATTACAACAAAACTGCTGAGGCCCATGAGGCGAGTGCAATTTGTAGTCTTACATTTCTTGAAATCGGGAGACTCATCTGTTTCGTCATCCATTCAAAATCAACTTTCAAAATTCGGTAACGAGAAAATGTTACTTTTATAGGAAATTGGGCTTCGCACACAAGTAAAGATCGTTAATAATTGTACAATGTAACATCCATTTAAAACTTTGGTATCTGTGTTTTCCTTATATTTTAGTGCTCCTTAACCTTTTTATTGGGAAATAGAGAACTACAATTGAGGGGACACGGGTTTTCGCTTAACCTTTTTAGACACACTTCAATTTTCAATTTGTAAAGGAGATTGTGCAATAAACTGCGGAGCAGTGATACACATACCTGGTTAAAACTACTCGTTGTTTCTTAAACAAACTCCCATCGGTCTTCTCCTGAGGTGTGAGGCACTTTTGTTCAGAGCAGGGTGCCAACTGCCAACTGAAGCTGAAAGGTTGTTTAGAGGGAATAATATTACACCACAGACGACCTCATAACAAATTATGTGCCATTGTTCTCCCTTAAAGTAGAACCTCTTTGTTGGATCAGCGGGATTCTATCGGAAACACTTATTATTATTCTCAAACTATACTTTGTTATAGTTTTACGGCCAATTGGAGCTGAAATGATGTTTAGGGTGAATTATATTGCACCATGAACAAACTCTTGCAGATAAATAGCCACTATCCTTAATTCCTTACAGTGGTGCTTTGTTAGATCAGTGGGATGCTATGGTGGACAGTTAAGTTTTTTTTCCTACTGGACGCTGTTGTGTTTTATGGCCAACTGGAGCTGAATTGATGTTTATGAATAATTTAGTAAAGTTAAGCTTCCGCAGTCTTTTTAGAACAATTTGAACACAAACACCTCGGTGATAAATCTTTATTTTCCGATATTCAGGTAGCCAATTCAATAT